TGTGGCTGAGGGGCAGTTTGGAATAAAATCCTGATTTTCTGGAAGGTTGCTGTGTGGATTGTGAGCTCCCTTCACCCAAATATCTCCAGACTGCCCTCTTCCAAGCGCACAGTAGAATTTCACTTCTACCCCAGCTGTTGGTGCTGGGTGGTCCACATGATGCTTTCTGGATGATACATTTTGAGTGGAAATAGCAGGCGTCACTTTTAGACTGGGTGTTTAATGACCTCGTGAGGCCCTCCTGAGCCATCTTCTCCCCTCCATACAGCCGTGGGCAACACTCAAGGCGGCTACTCTCTGAAGACTGGGTCCTGAAGTGAGTGATTAGAAGAACTCCCCTGTTGATACCCATTCATGTAGAGTAGGTTTGAGAAATAGCCCTCCGTTGTTTGAGCTGTTGAGATTTGGGCATTTGTTTCTACATCACCCAGCCTCTCCTGACTGATACCTTTAAATAATAAAACACAGCATGCCATATACTCAGGATGAATCCTGAATAGGACCTGTCCTCTCCATGAGCCAGGAAAGAATCATCAGTGAGTCTCAACTTTCAGTTAGTGGTCCACGAAGGGGCAAGACCCAACTCACAGTGAATTCTGTTCAGAGCCTAGTGTCATCTCAAGGTGGACCTTGCAATGGAGGGTGACTTCAAGGACATTAGAGGAGCCACCACACCCATCTGGGGGGGCCACTTCGTGTTTCCATGTTTCCACCCTCTCGTGGTCTGCACCAGCACGACGTCCACGCTCCTCAAGGTTGTGACCACAAGACTCCCTTAGTCCCACGCATACCTTCCAACGTGGTATCTGAATACCAGTGAGGGTTTTCCCAGGCCAGCAAACCAGCACTCAAGCCTTGCAGCTTCTGAAGGGCTGGCATCTGAGGGAACCCCGGGAGGCCAGAGCTTTGTCAGAGGGAAGACAGTGGTGGTGGAAAGGGGGTGGGGTGCTTCTGCTTCCATGGTCCTGCCTCAGATCCACATTATTGGTAGCACAGCTCATAGTTAAAATATAGTCAGTAAACTATAAAACTCCTAGAGGAGAACATAGGCAAAACACTCTCCGACATAAATCACAGCAGGATCCTCTATGACCCACATCCCAGAATTTTAGAAATAAAAGCAAAAATAAACAAATGGGACCTAATGAAACTTAAAAGCTTTTGCACAACAAAGGAAACTATAAGCAAGGTGAAAAGACAGCCCTCAGATTGGGAGAAAATAATAGCAAACGAAGCAACAGACAAAGGATTAATCTCAAAAATATACAAGCAACTCCTCCAGCTCAACTCCAGAAAAATAAATGACCCAATCAAAAAATGGGCCAAAGAACTGAACAGACATTTCTCCAAGGAAGACATACAGATGGCTAACAAACACATGAAAAGATGCTCAACATCACTCATTATCAGAGAAATGCAAATCAAAACCACAATGAGGTACCATTACACACCAGTCAGGATGGCTGCTATCCAAAAGTCTACAAGCAATAAATGCTGGAGAGGGTGTGGAGAAAAGGGAACCCTCTTACACTGTTGGTGGGAATGCAAATTAGTACAGCCACTATGGAAAACAGTGTGGAGATTTCTTAAAAAGCTGGAAATAGAACTGCCATATGACCCAGCAATCCCACTTCTGGGCATACACACCGAGGAAACCAGATCTGAAAGAGACACATGTACCCCAATGTTCATCGCAGCACTGTTTATAATAGCCAGGACATGGAAGCAACCTAGATGCCCATCAGCAGACGAATGGATGAGGAAGCTGTGGTACATATACACCATGGAATATTACTCAGCCATTAAAAAGAATTCATTTGAATCAGTTCTAATGAGATAGATGAAACTGGAGCCCATTATACAGAGCGAAGTAAGCCAGAAAGATAAAGACCATTACAGTATACTAACACATATATATGGAATTTAGAAAGATGGAAACGATAACCCTATGTGCAAAACAGAAAAAGAGACTCCTATGTATAGAACAGACTTGTGGACTCTGGGAGAAGGCGAGGGTGGGATGTTTCAAGAGAACAGCATTGAAACACGTATATTATCTAGGGTGAAACAGTTCACCAGCCCAGGTTGGGTGCATGAGACAAGTGCTCGGGCCTGGTGCACTGGGAAGACCCAGAGGGATCGGGTGGAGAGGGAGGTGGGAGGGGGGACCGGGATGGGGAATACATGTAAAAAAAAAAAAAAAGATACACTATGGTTGTGATTAAAAAAATAATAATTAATAAATAAATAAATTTTAAAAAAAAAGAAAAAAAATATATAGTCAGTATATTTTACAAAATCAAGTGAATACCAGCTTGTTGGCCTACTAGATGCATTCCCCTCCCTGCAAAGCAGCACCCCCCAACTTTCCCAACATATTTCAAATGAAATGTCACCAAATATTAATGCATATAGGATGCGTCATATCCTACTAAACCTTAGAATGCAGCAGAACGTATTTACATGGACAAAATTATGTTTCCTCCAGCAAAACCACTTTAACATTGCATTCAATAGACATGCAATGAAAATTGCTTGATTTTTTTTTTCTTGAGTGACAGTGGTTAATAAATTTGATTCTGGAGTCCAAATGTCTGGCCTTGAAGCCCGGATCCATGCTTTGCCCTTGATGTGACCTTGAGCAAGGCATTTGCCCTCTCAATGCCTCAGTTTCCTCATAGTTTAATTAGATCATGCCAGCTTGTATTGTAATGCTATTGGTCTTAATCAGTTAATGGCCATAAAGGACCTAGAACAGGGCCTGGCAAAATCTTACCACTGCAGAAATGTTAACTGTTTGTATTATTATTCCAAAAGCCATCCTTGTAAAATGGGGAGGCATCCTAGAACTTGGCATTTTATAAACAGGAAAAACACAATATTTCTTAAGGAGAGACAGGGGAATGGCTATTTATCAAAAACAGACCAGTGTTTATCTAACTTGCTGCATTGTGAGACTCTCCTGGAATGATGAAAACAGAATCCAGCTTCTTCTCAAAGGAAGTGATTTATCTGGAGAGCACCCTGTGGACAGCTGGCCTCAAGTCCCAGTGGCTATGTCCTTCCTGGTGATAGTCCTCTGAATTTCTTGGACGGATGTCCTGAGAAAGAAAAGAGGGTTTTGATGAGGGAGAGGAGCAAGGAATCTTTCAGCTCTCAAGAGAATCTACCCAGAGGCACAAAACCTCCAAGCTGGATAGACCGGTATGACTGAAGTCTAGAAATGCATGTTTGCAAAAAGAACACTGAACTAAGAGCCAGAAGACCCCTGAAGTCCCCCTATACACTCATACATGGACACACACACACACGGACACACACAGAGACACATGCCCATGGACATACACACAAATGCATACACGAACACATACATAAATGCACACACAGACAAATACACACATGTACACATATGGATGCACACAAATGCACTAATGAACACATAAATGTACATCTATGGACACACACAGGAGCACACACTCAAGTGCACACACAGAGACACACATACATACATGTATACACACATGTGCACATGCACACACATGCACACACATCAAGAGCTCCCTGAAGTCTAAAGGTCCTTATTCATCTCTTTGTAGTGAGCGACCAACACAAATCAGCTCTTAATGAATGTTCCTGCCTTTATTCACTGAACAAATATTTACTGAGCACCAAGCATCAAGCACTGGGGAGAAAATGTGAAGTAGATAGAGCCTCCTGCCTTCTCGGTGCTCAGGGTCCAAAGCTGGGTCTTTACTCTCTTGAACCCCGGCTGTCTCACCTATAAAACGCGGGTTTGGAAAAAAAAAAAACAAACAAACGCGGGTTTGAGGCTGTATTAGAGATTGACGTGGAGGCGGGATCAGCCAGGTTTGCTCCTCCCTGAGGTCTGAGGACCGCGTCCTGCAGCACCCGACGCCCAAGAGCCTGCGCATCCCCCGTCCTCCCGGTGGGTTTTGAGGTTCTGCCTGGGTGTCCCTGGGTACCACGGACTCTCAAGCCCGGTGCACCAGTCCTTGGACTCAGCTCTTCCCAGCCCTCTGCCCTGCAGAGAGAGAAGGGGAGGGAGGCCGGGGTTGATTCAATTTGAATGAGGGAAGGGAGAGACAAACCACCAAGGAGGCTTTGACCCTACGGTCCCCCCTCCTTCTCACAAAGACCCTCCCCTCCCACCTACCCCTGCTCATCCACGCAGACTACACCGCTTTGACCAGACACTCACTCCCCAAGATCCTGCTTCCGCAGGACAAGTTTGGGGAGGGGGCGTGTGGAGAGATTGTTCGCGCGCTCCGCCCCGCCGCACCCGCCGGGACGCCCTTGGTCTGGGTCCCCTGAACGCGAGGCCCCGCCCCGCCCCACCCGGTTCGGGCGCCGAGAGTGCGCGCCAGACCTTGCACCCCACCGGGTGGGGTGGGGTCGGGTGGGGTGGGGGTGGTCCCTGAGGGGGCGGTCCCGAAGGGGCGGGATGCGGGGGCGGGCACGGGGCCCCGCGTGCATGCTGATGAGCTGGGCGGCCGCGTCACTCCGCACCGGCGCCGTGGCTGCGGGGCGGGCAGGAGCCGCACACCAGCCGAGCGCCTGCCGGCCCGCGCCTCCCTCTCTTCTCCGGGCCCCGAGGCCCTCCCCGGTCGCCCCTGAGAGGGGGCCGCGCCCCTCTGAGGAGGATGCCGAGTGCCCGCTGCGCCCACGGCCCCGGGCAGCCCCTGCGCGTGGGGAACCCGGGAGGCAGAGGGGCGCTCTGAGAGGGCGCGAGGTGGTGCTGAAGGGACAGCTCCCGGGCACGGGCGGCAGAGCGCGCAGCCCTCCCGCAGCATCCGCCTGCAGCCCCTGCCGGCAGCTCCCGGCCCGCAGCCCCGCTCCTTCAGCACCCCAAGCCCTCAGCCCGCGGTGAGCTGGGCTGGCTCATGGTCCCCGAAGCAGCGGGCCAGACGGAGGCTCCTGTGGCCACCGGGCCCACGGGGATGCCCCGCGGGTGAGGCAGCCCCCAGCTTCCAACCGCGTTCATGGCGGTGGCCAGGAAGATCAAAACTTTGCTGACGGTCAACATCCTGGTGTTCGTGGGCATCATCCTCTTCTCCGTGTACTGCCGCTTGCAGGACCGCTCAGAGGGGCTGGTGCAGATCGTTCGCAGCGCCGACCGCCGGGTACGCAGCCGGCACGCCAAGGTGGGCGCGCTGGCGGAGCGCGAAGCCATCCTGCAGCGCCTCGACCACCTGGAGGAGGTAGTCTACAACCAGCTGAATGGTGAGCTGAGCCAGCGCCCCGCTCGGGACAAAGAGGCTGGGCAGAGTGGGTTGCGGAAAAATTGTTCCCGGGTTTGGGACGCTGAACTGTGTCCCTGGCGCTACAACCTGTGAGGACCCCAGGGATCTGGTGGCCAACCAGGGCTAGGATCGATTTCCTGTTACTTGGGGAGTGAGTCAGGTAGAAGGCAGATGGGAATACAGGCTCTGTGTAGCTGAGGGTGCTGGCCTGAATGACCACGCTGGTCATTACATGCCCAGAGGACACTTGAGTATCCCAACCCACCAGTACGCATGAAGGGACTCCACCTTGTTCCCCGAGGAACTGAGAGAACTTCTAGAGACTGTAGGACTTGTGTTAAGAGCAGGCAGTGCTCAGATCCAAAAGCAAGGGAGTCTGCTGTGCTGCTTCAGGAGCTGTGGGGCATCAGGACTGAGCCCAGATTCACTCCCCTCTCTTAGGGAAGAAGTGGAGAGAGCCAGGATGGCTATGCTGCCCCTCAGAGGTGTTCTTTAGATGTTGATGGAGAAAAGTGGGCTTCCCTGGTAGCTCAGACAGTAAAGAATCTGCCTGCAATGTAGGAGACCTGGGATCAATCCCTGGGTCAGGAAGATCCCCTGGAGAAGGGAATGGCAACCCACTCCAGTATTCTTGCCAAGAGAATGCCATGGACAGAGGAGCCTGGTGGGCTACAATCTATGGGGGTTGCAAAGAGTTATGCCCCAACCACTGGAGCTGTTCAGTTCCCTATCCTGGGGATGCTCAGGACTCAATCAACCAAGTGCTGTGGGCTGAGTATGAGGCTGTGAACCTGTGACTCATGGACAAATAGAGTCTAGGTCCTGGCAGGGGCTTGGCAGATATCAATTACCTAAATGGGCCCTGGGCCGTGGTGCCTGGGCACCTGGAGTCCTCGGAAGCTTCTACAGGAAATGGCTCCTGGAGGTGGGTTCCTTGCTTCATCCCAAGAGGATGTGAGTCACCCTGAGGGTCGGTGTGGGAGTCAAAGAGGGTCAGGGCCAATGTGGAGCCAGGTGGTGGGGGAGGAGGAGTGCTTTTCCACGCTGGGTTGCAGCGGAGCAGAGTAAAGCAACTCCTGCTCCCTGGGCTTGCTCTGTGCCAGTGTGCAAGGAGGAAAGAGGGAAGTTTATGTTTACCGCATTAGTAGGCTTTCCCCTTCTGTCCTGTGCTTTTCTGGTTTCTGCACCAGCAGCCCCTGGCAATGCTCTTTAGGAAGCGTCAGTAACAGGCTCCAGCAGGAGCTGCCTGGGAGCCAGCTTGCATAGACAGGGCCTGCTCCATGTGTCACTCAGTCCAATGTGGAGGTCCTCTTGGGATTTCCTTCTGGATGCCCAGCTGGCCTTGGAGCAGCGGCTCTGAACCCGAGGCTTGGTGATGCCCAGGATATGGGAGCTGTCTGCAGCCATACCCACCCTCTCTGGGAGAGTAGCGCATCCTCTGACTTCCCAAGTGCCTTCTTGCTACCCCTGAACTCCTGGGTTTTTGTCTGGAGGTAGTTCTGGTGGGCTGCTTGGCTTTTCTGATCTTCCCTATTCAGCTGAAACCACAGGGGAGAAAAGTTTAGTTCAGCTGTCACTTGACCATTCTGGTGGTGATTCATCTCCAGGAAGGCGGTGTGCCCCGGTAATAGCACACAGCTTTATTGAAGTGTGTTTGCCAGGGTGTTATGGTCTGTTTTATGGGGAGAAGTAGAGGATTATATAAAAACATTGGCAGCACGTCGGGTTGTGTAACATCCTGACGGCCAGCTCAGCGCTGAGAGCCGTTCTCCCTCCTCCCGCACATCAAGGTGAGAAGGAGCCGGGATTCTTGGAGGCAGAAAAAGCCAGGACCTTTGACCGACTTTCTTGACCCTGATGGGAGATGATGAAGTGTTTCGGGAAAGTGGAGTATCATTCCCAGGCCCACCCCAGCCTCTCCCCTTCCCTTCTCCTGGCTTCTTTCTCCTCCCTGCCCCCTTCTCTCTTCCTACTCCTCTTCCCACCCCTTTCTCCTTTTTAAAATCTTTTCTCCCTCATCCCTTTACCAAATCTCTTCCTCCTATCAATTTTGCTCTCTTCTCCTTTTTTTACCTTCCCTTACCCCAAATGTTCTGTCTTTCTACAATCTCTGTTCTGTCTCTTTCCCGCCACTCCCACTCTTTATCTTGCATCCCCATCTCAGACCATGTGCCTAGCATAGTGTCTTACCCAGGGGTCATTCACTATTTGTTTCTGGACATGACAAGAGAGCCCCAATCTAGCACTCAGCCCAGGTCGGTCCCTAAGGATAGGACGGTGTAGGAATGGGGTTGACCTTTGTTCACAAGAAGCCCTTTGAGACCAGTTCTCACCCTTTAAACTGGCACAGATTCCTCTGTTAAAGGATTTTGAAGAACATCAAGGAGAGTGCTTCCCAGAGGAGGCAAGCCACAGCCCTTTACACTAGTGTCTGTTGTGGTTTAGATCCAAGAAATAGGATATGGATTCCTAGGAGCTTCTACTCAATACTAATTCAGCTGAGTTTAGAAAGGAGAGGGAAAGGAAAGGGAGAAACCCCAACAAAATTGATTTATTGCTTATATTGATTTACTCCTTTGCCTTGACTGCTTCCTAGAAACACTTCTCCTGGCTTGAAGGAGCTGGTGGGGAGGGAAGATTGTCCCTGGGGAGCAGGGCCCAGAAGCAGAGCATCCTCCCCAACACTCCACACAGCCTCTCTTTAGCTGGTCCAGTGCCCTTTACTTGAAATGTCTTGTTGACTCAGCAAAGACTTATTAATGGTGTGTGTAGATTCAAATTCATAAGACCTGGTGGGGGGTGGGGTCGGATTTTCTTTAAGGAAATGCAGTGTAGTCATATGCTGTATATACATGAGAGTTTGCTTCTAAGTTTAGTGCTCAAGGAAAGAAAAAATGTTTATAGGCAAAAATCATCCTTCCAAATATCTTAAACTGCATATAAAGTACAGCATCCCTGGTTTCATGCCTGCAACTGGCACAGTGAGTCTTATGAAGGTGGAATTGGAGAGCCTCTAAGCTCAGTGGGCTTACCTGGTGGCCCAGGCAGCAAAGAGTCTGCTTGCAATACAGAAGGCCTGGATTCAATCCCTGGGTTGAGAAGATCCCTGGAAAAAGGAATGGCTACCCACTCCAGTATTCTTGCCTGGAGAATTCTATGGACAGTGGAGCCTGGTGGGCTACAGTCCATGGGGTCACAAAGAGTCGGACAGGACTGAGCAACCAACTTTCAATTTCACTTTAAGCTCAGTGAGGAGGGAGAGGAAATCCCATTCAGTTGGTCATATGTTCAAACCCTTCTGCCTTCTATGACCTCTTAAGAGCAGAGGCTGAATTCGAACTGGCGATGGGAGGGGGAGGTTTCCACTTGGGTTGGTTGGCTGCTTTTTAAAATTCAGACACATGTGTTTTAATTCCCTCTAACTTGACCCTCTAACCAGCCCAAGTCCCTCACAATCAGAGGTCAAAGCCATGTGTCCATTGTACAGATGGAAAAGCCGAGGGCCAGTGAGACAGCAGGGCTTGCTCAAGGTTGTTTAGGAAGTTATGTGTGGCAGCTGCTAGAAGCATACTTGCTTCAGAATGATCTACGCTTCTGCACTTGTCAGAAGTTCAAGTTAAAATAGCAGAAGGTCCAGTTCTGTGGTCTGTCAGGTGATGGCCTTGTTCCTCTCGGGTGCGGACCGCCTCCCACCAGCTCTGCCAGCACCACTTCCCCTCCACTGGGAAGAGGTACTTGCTGGCCCTGCTCTCTCAAACTGCAGAAATTCACATAAGACTGGTACCAGGTTTTGCCATAATTGTGCACCACACCTGTTCCATTGTTCATCTGAGGGTGGGGATTTTTGTCTGTTTTATTCACAGTTCTAATGCCAAGGGTCTTGGGTGGTGCCTTGCACACAGTTCATACTCCAGAAATATTTGTTGGATGAGAGAGTGAGTGGATCTTTCTCTAAATGATTGATTGTTTTTGTTTAGAATAAATTTATTTTAAAAGACATTTGCAAATCACCACCGTACCCGTAAGCAGGAGGGGACTGGGTGAGTGAATGTAATGAAAACAAAATCATGCTCTTTAATTCCAGCGTGATAGGGCTGTCAGCAGAGGCTTTGAGCCAGAAACCTGCCCTATCTTTGTTAAAAGGGAGATTCTCAAGTGTGGGGGATATATTGGCATGAAACCAAGACTTTCTCCTTGAAGAAATCAGGGGATTGAGACAGCCTTTAAGAGGGGATAAGTCTTACAGTGTGAGTCAATGTTATTTAAGGCTGTGTTCGTTTTCTGCCAACAATCCTGTCCCCCTCCCAGGATTTTGACTGTACACTTTGGAAAGCCCAGGTCTGTAGCAGAGTATTGCTTAAGGGGATGTGATGGGGGGATGAATTGTGTGGGAAGTGTGGTGAAGTGGCTGTCAGGTTGCTAAGGGGCACTTGTCCCTAAGGCTGCATCCACTGCAGGGAGCCCAGATCAGGAAGCTGAAATCCTAATAATAGTCTGAGCACCATGAGTGTTTTGTTTTTTTTTTTTAAGTCTTTATTGAATTTGTTACAATATTGCTTCTGTTTTACCTTCTGCTTTTTTGGCCATGAGGAGTGGAGGGGGGTGTTTGCTTGAATCTCTTTTTCTGTTCTCCTCCATTGGATCTCAGCTCCCCGGCCAGGGATTGAACCCACACCCCCTGCATTGGAAGGCAAAGTTTTCACTACTGAACTGATAGGGAAGTCCCCACCCTGAGTTTTAGTAATTGAAGAATTTTGGAGTTGAGACCAGGAGGTGCCTGGGGAGGGGCGAGAAGGAGGAGGATGGAGAGAATGCCAGGTGGTCACCGTGTGTTTGCCTTGGCCCCTCGGGCTGCAGGGGGAAAAAAACCCCTCTGTGTGGAACTGTCTTTTCTGCACTGTGGTGCTTGCTTTGGCGGTGGGCAGGTGTCACAGCTGGGAAGCTGAATTTGGGGAGGTGTCCAAACAGTCCACACCTGGT